TGGAACTCACTTGGTAGCCCAGGCTGGCCTTGAACTCACAGAGATCTGCCTGGCTCTGCCTCCCGAGTGCTGGGATTAAAGGCATGCGCCACCACCGCCTGGCTCGGTGTCCAGCTTTTTAACAAGGTGCTGGGGGCGGAGCTCCACTTTGTATGGCAAACACTTTACTGCGCATGCACGCCATCTCCCCAGCTCTCCAGTCATTCTTAATCCTACCAACCCTGCAGGCTCCCACTGGCTGGGCCGTGTAAGCACACGGCACCGTGGGGGTCCTGATGCTAGCGTGTTCAAGAGACTGTTGGAGGACACGAGAAGCAGAGACCTACAATTCCATATGAGGAAGAGAGCGTTTTTCGCAAGGGCGACTTGACAGCTTTATCAGGGGCTGACCCACGAAAGAGGGGAGAGGTCATTCCCGGCAGAGGAAGCCACCTGTACCTGAGAACACAGGTTGAGATGGGTCTGTGGGAAGATGGGTCAGGTGTGAGAGCAGGGCAGCAGGGGAGGAGGCTGAGAAGAGCAGCAGGAGCCAGAGGAGGTGCGGAGGAGAGCCGGACACAGCTGTGCCAACGGGACAGAAACTCCTGGGACACAGAAATGAGCCACAGAAGTCCACTGCTTTGACTAGCTTGCCCTCGCTCCTCAGGCCAGCTCCCTAAGACCCCAAGACCTCTCCCACTGAGCAGAGGGCAGATCTGGAAAGGGAAGATTTGCAAATATTTACCCACCACTCTGTCTGTCCCTGAGCCTCCCTGGAGAACTGTCATCCTGTTGGAGGATGCCTCTGGCAAGGTGGAAGAGGAGACGCGGGAGTTGGAATCAGCAGACTGTCTGATTCTGAACCAGCATCCAAGGGTAAGAGAATGGGAGGCGACGGGCCACCATGAATGTCTTCTGCCTTCCAGGGCTTCAGGCCTCATTTCACTGTGAGGCAGGCACTACCTCCATGTATAAGGAAGAGCTTGGAGCTCAGAGAAGCCAAGGTCACTCAAGATTAGAACTTAGCCTGTCGGATTCCAACCTCTGCAGTCCTGGAGCTCAGTATGAATGCAGTCAGTCAGAGAACAGTACTGCAATTACTACCGTCTCCGCCAGCAGTGATCGTGAGCAGAACAGCCGTTTGTGGTCACTGTTCTGAGCACTGTTCTCTGCACGTCACTGTGAGGTAGAAGCTCCCATTGTCCCTCCTCTGACCTGAGGCACCGAAAGGTTAAGAGTTCCAGGGCTGGTACCTGACACCAGCAGGATCGGAGGAAACCGAATAGAAGAATAAGTTAAAGGGGGGAAACGGGAGAGCCGGGCCTGGTGTCACATGCCTGTAATCCCAACACTCAGAGGGCCGAGACTGAAGGAAAGCCATGGGTCCCGGGCCAGCGTGGGCTACACAGTGAGTGTCAGGCCAGCCTGAGCTTCAGTGTTTACATTTGACTCTGAAAGCATGATAGATATCCTTGTCCCACTCATAACCAAATTATTTGTCTCACTACTTCTACGGGGTACTTCCTGTTGTTTGAGACAGGGACAGACTATGTAGAGAAGCAACTTCCATTGTTCTTCCCTGTAAGCTTTCTGTCTCTGCCCCCCAAGTCCCGAGATTATAAGTGTGCATCATCATGACTGGCCAATTATATATTTGTAAAGTCAAAAGACCCCCAAAACAAGTTCCTAGAATGCTGGTGACCCCCCCAGGATGTTGTCCTCCTCACACATTCTTTGAGTGACCCAACCAACCCCACAACCATGGTTCTCTACTTACAGCCTCCTCTTGAGTGCCAGATCCCTATGTCCAAAAGTCTCTACACCCTTCTGTGTGAAGAATCTTAAGTGAGATGCCTCAAACCCAGCCTGCTCAAGACTGACCGAATCACTGTGTAGTCTAAAACTGGGTCTCCAGTGTTCCTTGTCTTGGGGATCAGAAGCATAATCTACCCATCACCCAGCCAGGGGCTACCCACCCAGTCGCCTCTATTTCCTTCAAACATCAACATGTAAGAAATCAACAAATAAGCTGGGCAGTGGTGGCTCATGTCTTTAATCCCAGGACTCAGGAGGCAGGGGCAGGAGGATCTCTGTGAGTTCGAGGCCAGCCTGATTTACACCCAGAGCTACACCTTGAGACCCTGTCTCAAAAAAAAAGGAAAGAAAGTCCCCAAACTTGATTGGCTCTATACAAACACTTCTCCACTATGACTCTTCTCACTGAGGCTGCTCAGAGACTCTCTCTCCTGCAGCCCCAGGCAGAGAGGAACCATCTGGTCATCATTCCAGGTTCATCATAAAGTGGGAGGCTCAGGAGTCCAGGTAGCTGTCTCTTTGCTCCTCTTTCTTCCCAACGCAGCCCAGCTCCTTTAACGGCCGCCATCACTGCTACCCGGAATCACTAGAAACTTCTTAACTAGGCTTGCCATACCTTCCTCGTCCCTTATACTGCAGCACGGTAGCTTAACCACTAACTTGAGCGTGCTCGCCTCCATGGAAAGCCCTCACCCGGCTCCTCACAGCTCTTGGGATGAAGTCTGCACTCTTCCACGCCTGGTCTGGGCTTGGGGATACGGCTCAGTGAGGAAAAGTACTTTCTGTGTGGGCCTTGATCATGGAACCCACACAAAGGTAGGGGACAGTCGACTCTACAAAGTTGATTATCTCACATCCACATGTGTGCCATGGCACGCATGTCCACACATACAAATCACGTGTGTGTGCATGCCTATCAGAGACACACGGACACAGATTTTGAAGGCTGTGTCTGGGCTGGGCTTGCCTCATGGCTTACTCTCTCTTCCTATCACCCCCGCCCCCGCACTCCATGTCCAAAAATAACCACCTGCTCCGCTTCCCTAAACACACTTCCGGCATTTGCCGATCTGTCCTGCATTTCCCTAATCATAGTCTTATCCCACTGTTGGGCATTTGTCTGCTGTCTTCCCTCCCTGTCCCTCAGGCCACCTGTCCCCCCACTGTCCTGTCAGTGCCTGCTGGGCACGGGCTGCTCAGGATTTGTTGGTTATCAAGGTTCTACAGCCGGATGGCTGGCAGGTGATTCTTAAGACAGCATAGTGTACATACACCAAAACCCTGGCAATGGTTGCTTTGGAAAAGCCGGGAGAGGCAGAAAGTGGTGAGGGAGGACCGTGGAACTGGAAGAATAAGAAGGAACAATGGCTTTCTGTCTTTCCTTTCCTGACTTTTCTCTCCTTCATCTCCTTGCCTCAGGAGCATTTGCCAAAAGCCAAGGCTGGCTAAGAGCTCCTTTCCTGGCTTGGGTGAAAAGTGAACTCTCTGGGGAAGTGCAAATGTCCTGAAGGCAGGAAGAAGTGGAGTGTGGCGAGGATCCTGCCTCCAGAACCTTAACGGGATGAAGAGGAGTCTAGGCTGTACCAAGCAGTGAGACTCTGAGGCCTGTGCCCCAGGAGGAGCATGGCCCCTGCAGAAGGGTGAACGATAGGTATGGGGAGACTGGACCTCAGTAGAAAGAGTGCACCCCCTCAGGTCCCCCCCCCCGCCCTCGCCTGTCTCTTCTTTCCTCTCTGACACAGGGTCTCATGTAGACCAGGTTAGCCTCAAACTCAATATATAGGGAGGATGAATGAATTTCTGATCTTCCTCCTCCTCCTGAGTGCTAGGGTTACAGGCATGTGCCCCCACACTTGGCAGATCCAGGGCTGGGGTGGAACCTAGGGCTTCATGCTGCTCCATGACTTGGCCTACTGAGCCACATCCACAGACAAGAAACACATCCAAACTTTTGTTTTTTCTTTCAGTGCTGGAGACTGGGGCCCAGGACCATGTGCATGCTAGCCAAATGCTCTTCCACTGAGCTTCAGTCCCAGCGCCTCCTCCTCCTCCTCCTCCTCCTCCTCCCTTCCTCCTCCAAGAGTACCTGTATCTGGATAACAGGCATTTACGGTGATGATCTCGGGTATCAGGGGGTTCCCTAGCTAATCTAGGTTTCATAAAACCCTGGGGTTTTGTGCTCCTTCCTTTGTAAAGGGAAGCTTCCCTTGCACCAAATTTCTGTTCACCTTGAGAGATGGGGCCTTGGGAACAGATTTAACAGAAAATAGGTAACATTTCTTGTACAGTCCAATCAGTAGTGTAAGAAACACTCTCTCCACATTTTTGCATGGTTTGACTTGGTTACAAGTATCAAGTATCCTCAGATTAAACATGCAAACCAGTCATTCCGACCAAGACCGTTCATGACCTAGCTAGGAAGCTTGTTCTGAGTGAACACAGAGGCAGCCTTCACCTATCCTTCCAGGCATTCCAGCCAAAAGGAAGGCTCCTGGGGAGACAGCAGGTCTAGGGACACTTGTTTCCTTAGGATGCAAGGGCTCCTAATCACAAATAGGAAAACGTTGGCCCACCCATTCTTTCAGTGATACCAAATGGGGACTTTTAAAATTCACGGAGGGTGTGGCTGGGCAGGGCTCCCAGAAACTGGAGAAGTTTAAGGATTGGTGGGTGGTATGTGTTCTCAAGAGAAGCCACGGGTTGGGATGGTCCTTAGAGGTATCATGAGGGAGGTCCAGATCACTTAGGTTTAGAACTGGCTTTGCACACACTTACACTCCTCGGCAAAAAACGTGAAAATTGGTGTGTGTGTGTGTGTGGGGGGGTGTCTTACGTTGTAATCCTTTTGTTCTAAGAGACATGGTCTTGCTATGTTGCTTAGGATTGCCCTGAACTTCTGGGCTCCAGAAACCCTTCTGCTTTAACCTCTGGAATAGCTAGGTCTCCAGCTGTGGACTCCAGCTGTGGACTCTAGCTCTTGGCCCCTAGTTTCACGCTTTGTTTTAGAGATAGGGTCTTGCTGTGTAGCTTAGGTTGACTTAAACTCTTGTCTCTCTTGCTTCAGCCTACTCAGTGCTAGGGTAACATGCATGGATGCGGCCCCCAGCCCTACTTCATATTTTTAAGTCCATGTTCTTCCTTTAACTCATTCCTTCTGGTTTAATTCCCTTCCAAGACAAAGGTAAGGTTCAAATTCAAACGATCTCACTATTTACCTGTGGGACCTTGGGCAACTTACTCTCTGAGTTTCGTAGCCTTCATTTCAGGATGAGAACAACAATAACAAAAAGATTTCTGCTCATCCCGAGGACCAGATATAATGATTAGCAAGTGCCCAGCACAGACCAACACCTAGCAAGTGCTCATGAAATGGGAGCGGGCTTTATTACTGTACTTACAATAACAATTCTCTTCTTATTCCTGGAAGAGACAAGGCCCTTTCTGACTCCTTCCTCCCTTGGCGGTCAACAGTGCCTCTGAATGCCAGCATTCCGCAAGGCACAGTCTGGGACAGCTCATTAGCCACGGTCACTTCCCTCCTGTTCTCAGCCCTCCAAACCCCACTGAACAAGCTCTTCCAGTTTTCAGCCCGCCTCCTTCCCATGTGACCTCGTTACGGCCTCACAAAGGGCATTCCAGGGCTCAAGTGAGCTCTGTACTTCACGCCGGTCTTAGCTCTCCGGCATCTGTCGCCTCCTCTTGGGCGTGGGCTTTTGCAAGCCACTGCACTATCTCCCATTTCCCAGCCCTCTCCTCCCCCCACCTCTGCCGCAATCATCTTTCAGGTCTCCGATTCCACTCAGACCTTCACCCAGCCCTTGGCCAGGTAACTTTACTGCCGCCGCCGCCGGCTGCTCCGGGTTTGCCTTTGTAATCAGGAGCACTGGCCAGACATCAAAGGCGCCCTTCTCCCCATTTCCTCTTTCCAGATTTTATAATCATCCTCACCAGTGCACCCTCCATTACTTGAACTTAGAACTACCTGGCTTTTATCTCAGGCAGCAGGACACACCAGCATCATAAAATAAAGCTCTTGTTGCTTGGGGAAAAGCAGACCCGCATGCTGGCCTGGCTCCTGGCTCCCGGTTTTTCGAGACAGGGTTTCTTTGTGTAGCTCTGGCTGTCCTGGAACTCACTCTGTAGACCAGGCTGGCCTCAGAGATCAGCCCGCCTCTGCCTCCTGAGTGCTGGGATTAAAGGTGTGCGCCACTACTATCTGGTTTATTTTATTTATTATTTATTTTTTTGAAACAAGGTCTTACGTAGCCTAAGCTGACTTCAAACTCATCTTGTAGTTGACATTGGCCTTGGATGATCAGATGCCTCCATTTCCCAAGTGCTGGGATGGCTCGCCTGGCCATTGTGTAATTTTTTTAAGCTACAGAAGAAGATCATATGGGTGGGGAGAGAGACTCTCCCTACGGAGCAGGGGTGTTAGTGAGCGAGGGGGCAGACCAGAGTGGGTGTGCTAGAGTGGGCTAGGGAAGTAGAAAAGTCTGAGGGACAAGCCCAGTTCAAAGAAAGTCTAGCCTGGGGTCTTGCATGTCACAGGCCTACACAGTGTTTGGTGAAAGAATGAAAAATGAGGCTGGAGACGGTTGGGGATTTAGCTCAGTGGTAGAGCGCTTGCCTAGCAAGCCCAAGGCCCTGGGTTCGATCCTCAGCTCAAAAAAAATGGGGCTGGAGAGATGCTCACTGGCTGCTCTTCCACAGGACCTGGGTTTGATTCCCAGCACCCACATCAAGTGGCTCACAACTGCCCTGTAACTACAGTTCCAGGGATCTGACTCCCTCTCTGGCCTCCATGGGCACCAGGCATACATGTAGTGCCCATATGTACATGCAGGCAAAACATCCATACACATAAATAATATATATATTTTTAGTGCAGGAAGGAATAAACTGGATTTGAATCCAGTTGGCAAACAGTTTATAGAAGAGATATGAATTGCTAAATGCCTAGCCTGGCTTGTACCTATCTGAGATCTTCAAAACTTGCTTTCAGTTTGGTGTGGTACATGTCTGTAGTTCCTGTTACCTGGGAGGGTAGAGTGGGAATATTGCTGGGGCTTGAGTAATATTTACCTCAAAAACAAACTTGCTTTTTCACAGAAGAGGAGAATGGAACTCTAGCTGAAGAGGTGGAGTTTTCCTGGACTGAGCCCCTGCCCTGTCTGCGTCGCCATGCCTCCAGGAATACCAGCTAGAGAGGTACATGGCATGAACAACACACATCAGCCCACCTCCTTCCCGTGTGAGCGAGCACACAGCCCCTCACGGAGCTGCAGTACAGGCCCCAGGCCAGAAGGCTTCGGAATCCACCCCTGCTTCTAGGAGTCTCAGTTTAGCAAGCCGGAACCTGGGTCTATCTGCTCCTCTGCCTCTGCGCCTTTCCAGCTCTGCCTCGGCTTCTTCCTGACAGTAACGTCCTTTCTTAGTTATTGTGGTTTTTTGAGACAGGGCTTCTCTGTGCAGCCTTGGATATCCTGGAACTCACTCTGTAGCCCAGGCTGGCCTCGAACTCACAGAGATCCACCTGGCTCTGCCTCCCGAGTGCTGGGATTAAAGCTGTGCGCTACCACTGCCCGGTTTGCTTCCAACCACAACCAAGGCGACTTGGTACAGAGATGCTCTTCCAGCGAAGAGTCCCTGCTCGCTTGGGGTGACAAAGGTGTGTCCTGAAATCGGAGGCCACAAGCTTAGACCAGAGCAATGATCCCTCACCCCATAGGAAAGACGTCATTCTTCCATTTCAGAATTTACCTGTCCTCTTCTCAGAGGGTGTCTAAGCTCCATGCAGTACTTAGAACCCCCCACCCCCACCCCATGCCATGAAAACAGTCTCCTGGGGTCTCCTCACCCCTAGCCTCTTTGTCTGGAAGATTCAGAAGCAGGAGAAACAAGAGCTGGCCGCTGGGGGTTGTTTCAGAATCACCGTGACATCAGCGAAGAAAGCGTGCGGGGGTGGGAGGGTGGGGGGGTGAGGGGGGGTATGATACTCTCAGCCACCACTCGCGTGCAGACCTTGTATACCATTACACAGTCGTACACCCACACCATGGCGTTCCCGTCATCGATGACTGCTGTGTGAGCGCCGTCCAGTGAGACTGCAACGGAGGTCACAGAGGGGGAGCACAGCCCATTCCGGCGGTCCCCGGAACGCTGCTGGAAACAAATGGGCTGTGCCGGCAGTTGGAAAGGCGTCATACACGCATAGCCTGGCACTGATGATAAACCTCCATGCTAGTGTACCTTCAACACCCTGGGGTTGTTTCTCAAGCGTTGTTTGAACGCCTGCTACTTACAGGACGTTTACTGTAAAACTTGCCATGTTACAGCAGCTGGCTGTACTTGGGTTTACCTGCTGAGCAGGGCATGGTGGTGCACCCCTGGGGTCCCCGCACTCAGGAGGCAAAGGCAGGAGGAATGTCACAAGTTTGAGGCCAGCCCGGTCTACATAGTGACTTTCAAGCCAGCTAGAGCTACATAGTGAGACCCTGTCTCAAAAAGCTCCCTGATCATACGCTATTTAAAAAAAAAAAAAAAAAAAAA